ATTTGTCACCAGATTGACCTTGCACGTGATTGGTTGAATGCGAGGAAGGTTCACACACAGGCAATTTTGAATTTGAAGGTTAGGTTATTGACAATTCGACAGTTTCGTGTCATTATTGTAAATTTTGTGTTCTTAAACCCTTCTTTATTATATTTTGAAATAAATACACTCATAACTTCAATGTTAATTTGTATGTTTAGTGTTGACGATAACAAACGAAAATAAATACAATAATAAGTAAATAAATAAATAATAATAATTATTAATTTAAATTTACCGCCAAAATATCTAGTGATATTTTCTGGTGATTTTTCCTAGTGTAAATCTGACTTTCGCGTTTACTCCTCCTGGTTTAAAAACAGAGTATAGTAGCGCATGAATGTTTTACACTCGATGTTATTTTTGTCAAAATAAATAAATAAGTAGATGTTTATTACAAAATAAAGTTTAATTGTTTCTTTTGTGTCTAGCGCTACTTGATATTTGGACAAAGATAACATCGAGTGTAAAACATTCATGCGCTACTAGATTAAAATGTGTGCTTTTTGATGGGGAAAGAAATGAATTTTTAAGAAAAACAAAATACTATCGTATAAAGAATGTTTTTAGGACCTCAATAATAAAAAAAAATTTTGGCATCCATTTAAAAAAAAAAAGTTGACAGTCGCCATTTTGAAATAATTCTTCCAATTGAAAATGTGGCATCACCATCGTGTAGAGAATGACCCAAAACATATTATTGCCAAATATTTTGAAAGTAGTACCCATAGTGTAGCTAAAAAAAATAAGGCGCTTAATCAGGCTGTATAAATTTTTATGCTCTGTGATTTGTTTGTTAAGATAATGTGATCAGATTGAGGTATACGAATTTTTAACGTTTTCTTCTATAATTCGAGAACGGATGGCGATATCAAGATGCGGTTTTCACTAATATTTAGCAAATTTTATTGTGACTAAGGATCTGTGAAGTAAGTGTACCGTTCCATTTCACTTTTTTTCAAAAATCACAAAAATAGGTCATCGCTGCAGATAACGCCCTCTAGCTTATTTGTTTTAAACCAAACGGTCTTACTGAAAATATCTTTTAAAAGAGCATAAAATGTTCTCTCAAACGAGACCAAAAATATTCAAATTGGTTGAATGGTTCAGGAGATACTAAGCTATTAAATGATGTTGTCAAAGTTATAGCTCATCGTCTAACTTTCTGAGATAGCGAGAATTTTATGTTTCTCTATGGCAGTTACGCCCCCTAGCGGTCAAATTACGAACTTCAAAATAATTTCCATCTATTTATCTTACCCACTTTGCCTGTAAGTATTTTTTCCCAAACCTCTAGGCCTTACCGTTGTTGAGATACAGCCGCTAACGGGACACCTGTACAGGTGTCTCACGTAAGCGGCAATGTACATAAATGGTATTAAGAAGACGAGATACACAGTTCCTCCTTAGACAAAAGTTGTAGGAAATTTACCATACTATAAACGGAAAATATTTTTATACATACAGAGTGTTCCATAACGACGTACCGAAATAAATATACAGACTGGTGCAGTTTTTAATCAGGAAACTTTACTAGGATGTAGCACTTGCCAAAATAACACAAGTTTTTTATATAAACATAGGGTCGCAACACTTTTGTTTTCGAGCTATGAGCTGTCAAAGTTGAACCAAAAATTTGCCCTTTATCTATTATTTCTGGTACAAGTAGACCGTAAAATTAGGAATTTTGTATGTACTAGTTAATACCTTATTTTCAACCATACCTTAAACTTCCCTAGCGCCCTCTCAAGGGTTGAAATTCACAACCCCTTTGATTTTTTTTATAACAACCTTTTAACGCCATTTATTATTAATATAAAAACATATGGGTTGTAAAGCTTATTCATTACTAGTAATTTTTTTTTCTTTAGTATTTTCCTTAAAGATAATAGTTTTAGCGAAAAAAATAAAATATGCTACATTGTACTGTAAAGCGCTGCTATTAGTAAAAAAACTTTCTTTATAGCTAGCTATGGAAGTTGTGATTTTCATAACAAAAACAATAAATAAGATGAATGTCTGTCTGAACAAATTACGTGGTTGTAAACAATATTAACAAATTAATATTCTTTCTTAATAACAGTCAAAAATTATTAATAATCATCAACAATTATGAGGATTCACCGAAAATGAAACTTACAAGTTCTCAGAACCAACTTTTAGAATAATTTTTAGTTAAACATGGCGGCACATAGCGGTACAAGGCACGATATTTTATTTTTTTACACGGGAACTTAACTTTACTTAACTTTAAGGAAAATACTAAAGAGACAAAAAGTACCACTAAAAAATGAGCTTTACAACCCATATTTTTTATGTTAATATTCCATAGCGTTAAAAAGTTCTTATTAAAAAAAAAATCAAGGGGGTGGTGAATTTTATCGCCTTAGAGGACGCTGGGGAAGTTTAAGGTATGCTTGAAAATAAGGTCTTAACCAGTAATAAATACGTACAAAGTTTCAAATTCTACGGTTCATTTAAAGCCGAAATACAAAAGAAAACGTAATTTTTGGCTCAACTTTGATCGCTCATAGATCGAAATCAAAAGAGTTGCGACCCTATGTTTTTATAAAAAACTTGTGTTATTTTGACAAGTACTACATCGTAGTAAAGTTTCTCGATTAAAAACTGAACCATCCTGTATATTATTTTTTGTAATTCGCTACGGTAATGGAAGCTATAACAGTACTCAAACGGGTGCTGTAATGAGACTCCTTACAGTATCCGATGCTGTAATGAGATTTTAGTAACATTTTATGCAACCAGTTCAAGTTGGTGACATTGGGTCATTAATTTTTCTAGTTGTCAATGTGACAATTTTTGTCTATGGATGTTTAAACACGTTCTTAGCATCGAATACAAGGTCCACAATGATGAGGACATTGACTCTGAGCAATTTCTCTTATTTTGGGAGGTGTACATCAAACATTTTTTTCAGGTGAATATATTTTGTGTTTTGACAGTTTCTAATTGTCAATTCAAAGTTTCTATTTTCAAGTGTTCCGGTGTTACCAACTGCTACATACCTATTTCCCTACATTGCCAAAATTTACTTTATTTTTGTTAAAAAAAAGTATAAAAACGCGAATTACAAAAAATAGCATAAAAAACACGTTTCATAAGACTTAAAGCACTCATTCATTAAAAAACTCGTGGCTTCGCCACTCGTTTTTCAACTTGAATTCGTGCATTTCAAGCGTGTCTTACGAAACTTGTTTTTTAATATACTATTAACCTTCGAGCGGGCGCGCTGTCATAAAATTTATGACAATTTTCGTTTTTTATATGTATGTCCTTATATTATGCATTTAAAAGGATTTAACGCTAAAGAATTCGTGAACAAAAAAAATATTGTTATTGTGTTTATGGCAAAAAACGGTATAAAAGACAAGAAATTTGATTGGAAATTGATGATTTATAAGGCCGTATTTATATTATGGGATGTATTTAGGGATATACAATACGTTTTTGATAAATACAGGCCCGTAATGACAATTTTATCGGCATCGGAATTTTTTTCTTCATCCTTTCAATATTTCAATTTTTTCGGTTTTCCGTGAGTTTATAGAATTATTTCATACATTC